ATGATATTTGAGAACTCATAATTTCTTCTCTCATGATTCTCTGTATCTTTTGCTGGTGCTTCTGGATGATTTCATCATGTCTCCCTTCTAAAACACTAGATTACCGTATTTTAGGGAGAGATGTAGTCAGAGCTATAGATTTTAGAGTGTCCCTTGATTTGTCTCCTCAATCAAAATTAAAAGATTTATCTTTCTGCTTGACTTCCTTGCAGTCATTTATCACACTTTTACACAGATCATGCAATATCATTAGCACCTATTTTAAGCACAAAACCTTTCAATTAGAATTACTAAGAAAACTGAAATAGAATATATAGATGTCAAACTATAATGTACACCTGAAAATTATATAATTGTATTAATCAATGTTACTCCAATAAACTTTTTAAAAAAAGGAGACATAATCGAAAGAACTGCTTAATATGCAATTTGACCCACGCCCGGCCTTCTAATATGATACAGTGCATGTCCCACGTCCTCACATCTAAAGCACTACATTTGTGCCCTAAGAGTGCCATCACAGTATGGTGTCTGCTCAGTTCTCTGTGCCTCCAAATTCTTATCAGAAATTCATATTAGAAAGGCATATCCCTGGGCTATGACAACTCGAGTACACATTGTTTCCAGGGTTAATAAGAAAGAAATAAGAGTGGTGCTTTGGGTGTACCTATTTTAAAAGAGAAAAAAAAAATACAAATATGAGACAGAAGATAGATAAAAAGACAGTCTTTTTCAATAATTTGTGTTTGTACACTTAAGAAAATGAACATGAACACTGCTGGGAGTTCAGGAAGAGTGCTGACTATCAAATAGTTATGCAAAGGTCAACCAGAAGATGTCATCAGTTATAAAACAAAATATGATAGAGGAATTCAGAAAGAGCATATTTATCAAAATAAATATAACTGGATTACATTACTCTATTTTAGAGACTAGAATCTTAGATTGGGTAGGAGAACTATCCGTTTATTAGAGAAAGATCGAAAGACTAAATGGATGAACACAAATGAACAGGCAAATGATAAACAAAAGAATCAAAGCTGATTTAGTCAACCTATTAATATTGAAGAAAACCTGATTTATATTCATTTTAAAAATACAACATGTCAAAAAATGTAAAGCAATTGTGGAACTTCATGCAACTATCAATATAGCACAGAAATGTGTAAAACTAAAAAATGATATACATAAATATTTACACATTTTACAATGGAAGTAAGAAATCTTAACATAGTTTTCTCAGAAATTTACATATCAGTAAGATGAAATGTGACAATCTTGAAATTTTTAAAAATCACAATTAGCAAGTTTTATTTTTATTAAGGAGAGTATGAGTGAATTTAGACATCAAACTATTTACCTCCAAAATAAAGCATACATGTGCTTTATAAACCTCAGTTCAACACTAACCAAAACTGATTTGAATCAAGCCACAGGAAAAACATTAATCAAATCCCCAAAACAAAATAAATAAACCACACTCTCTAACTCTGCAAAACTTAATTAGAAAATAATAACAAAAATCTAGCCAAAACAATTTTATTATCCGGAAATCGCAAAAATTTATAAATCTTTAAAATCAAAGAGAAAGTCAAAATTAAATCATAGATCATGACCAACTATAACACTACATATAAAATAGGTGTCGTAGCTTCCTACAAAATATAATATATAAAGCTAAACTTAGAAAAATTTATATCATTATGTTTATTTAAAAACAAGACTTAAAACATGAACTAAACTTTCAATTGGTGAAGCTAGAAAAAACATTAGATTAAATTTAAAAAGTAGAAGAAAAGTTTTATATGATAACTATGACTTGATAAAATAAATTACAAATATAAAAGAGCTGTTAGGCTTGATTAATGAATCCAAGAGTTTAAGCTAATAAAAAAATGGGAAATCTCTTAAGTTTGATCAAGAATACATTTTTAAAAACACAAATAAATAATAATATTGAAAAATGGTTATGTAAACATATTAAGAAGAAATTATAAAAGGTTAAAAAAATCCTGTACACAAATATATGGAGATACATTTGAAATACTAGATGAAACTATCACTTAAATAAAAATATATATTGTAAACATGAAAAAAGTTTGGTAAAAATAACCACTGAAATTATTAAAAGGGTAATTTAAAACAATGAAAAACTTATTCCCTGAAAACGTCAGACTTAAATAGTTTTGAGGTCAGATCTAATAAACTTTAAAAAACACAAATGATTCCTGTATTATTTAAATGGCTTCCAAATTAATTTCAAGAATGTCATAATTCTAACTTGAGAACCTGAAAGTAGTATCCAGTATATACACAAAGAGAAAAATACCCATAGTTATTGATATAATCTAACAAACTAAATAAAATAGTATATTCTACATAGAGGAATGTATTAAAACATCATAAGCTGATAAGTTTTATTCCAAAAAGGGTTCCAAATTAAAAATTAATTTACAAAGTTAGAGGGGTAAAATTTGATGATTTCTAAAACCACAAAAAAAAATAATTAATAAAGTTCCAAACCCATTCCATATTATAATCCTTATCTATCACTAAAAAAAGCTTTCTTAAACTTTAGAAAGGGCAACTAATTGAAGTCATTAACAAACATGTTACTTAATGGTAAATGCTATAAGATTTCCTATTTAAGAAAAGGATATATATCATAATCACTCTTTTTAATTTAAGTTTAGAGATGCCAATCAATGCCACAAATAAGCAGAAAGTTACAGTTCTAAAAAGAAATACCAATGATCAAATTAGGTAAAATCCAACTTTTGTTCAGAGGCAAAAATGCTTTTTTTCTTAGTAGCAAGATTACAAGAGATTTCTTGTTCTCTTGTTTATAATATCCTATTTTTCAAAATTTTCTATGTAAGGCTGGTGTTATTTTTATAGTCAGAATCAAGTTACTGAAATAACTGAATATATATCTCACAATATCACTCATCCATTTTTTTAGAAATGATTTTATTTTATTAATCTTGTGACTATTATATCGAAAATAAGTTCAAAGTTTCTGTTAATTTTAATAAGTACAATATTTTCTATGAGTAATGAATTGAAAATAAAAGTAAAAATTTCTTTCAAAATAATAAAAATATTTTCTTATTCAGAAATCTAAGAAGGTTCATGTAATAAGAAAGTCTTCAACAAACATATTGATCTTCAGACTTAATTTGACCAAAAGTATGCAACAGTTTTTAAGCATTTTATTATATAAAGATTTACAAATTTAAATGTTTACTTGCTACTTTCTCTTAAAGAAAACATTTTGAAACTCACAGAAACATAAATATCTATTTATGAATCTAAATAACCAATTTTAAAAAGCCAAACTTACACTGGGAGCTCAAAGCTTTTTCAAAATTCCCCAAGAAGTTAAATGCTGGAATTATAGCTTGGCCTTTCCCAGTTGAGCTCACGATAGTCTCTTCATTTTCTAGGATCTGTAGCTTGATGAATACATCTGGTTTCGACGTGCGTACTTGTACTGTAACAGGATGTGGTAATGCAACTTTAACTGAATACCTATAATGAAAAAACATTCAAGTAGGTAAGCAAGTATATAGGTCTTTCCCTTAAGTCAGTAAAGGAAACTATAATTTGTTGATCCGATAATCTAAAAGTAAAACCACTTTGCAAGGTCAACTAAAATCCTGGAAATATTAATGCTACTATATACTTTGGCAAAATCCCTAATATGCTATGGTAAAATAAAATAAATATAGGACATTTATTATCATCAAATCCCAAATAGGAAATGTAACTTTTTGTTTAGATACGATAAGCACTCACTTATAAAATTTGATGGATCTGCAAACTATTGCCACACCAAATCTTCCCATTTCATGCTCCTCTCCATTCGGACAAAAAGCATAACTGGCAAAAGCACTAATTCTCAAAGCTTCGCTATTAGCAGTATTTCTTTTGATTTGCAAAATACAGAGAATCAAAAGTAGAACCTAACACCTGCTCTCCCTGTAATGTCTATCTAAGTAAATACACTTACTCTCCAGCAGTTCCCCAAGTCAAACCCCAGGGGTCTCAATCAACCAAGGCTGTCAGTTTTATTTCCTTGATATCTTAAAATCCTTTCTCTTCTCTCTAGATCCACTGTCACTGCCTGTTATGGGCTAAATTGTGTCCTCCCAAAAAGCTATGTTGGAGTATGAGGTACCCCTAGTACCTCACATTGTCACTTTATTGGGGATAGGGTCTTTCAGAGGTAATCAAGTCAAAACGAGACCATTAGGGTAGGCCTTAATCCAATAAAACTGGAATCCTTATGAGAAAGGGAAATTTGGAAACAAGGAGATACAGGGAGGATGCCAAAGTACCCTAGAACCCCACTTGGCAAGCAACAACAAATGTCTTTCGTCCTCTGAAAAGGTCATATGCCCTTTAATTTATGAACTTTCACATATGCTCATCAAGCAGCTCCCTCCTCACCTTCTCCACTTACCTGGACAGCTCTAGAACCAGCTTTTACGACTAATTTAGATAAATACCACTTCTTAGTCTGTTAGTGACCCTGCTACGTCGTACAATAGTTTCCTAACATAATACTTAAAATATTTTAGCACTTTTCTTATTTTCAGTTACTGGTATGTTTTCTTCCTTCTTTCCTACTTTTTCTGGCTTTCTTTCTAATAGGCAATAAAAGACTATATTATAAGAGGCAGATAGATTAAAAAGAGAATTTTCGCTCCTTCTATTGACCTTGGTTTATGTGTTTTCTTTCAGTATTTTCTCAAAACTTTTACTTACATATAAAATATATTAAAAAATAAAAATCTAAGAAAACATACTTGGAAGTACACTGTACAATAGTTCTATAATTTATTTTCATTGCTGATTATTTTTTATTTCAAAAATGTACATATATTTTTAAAAGGAAAAATTTTTAAAGTACAAATGTGGTAATGCAACTTTATTATACGAATTATAGGGAAAAAGCAGCCAGAGTACAATAAATTATTTGTTTATATATTGTCAAAAAAGTTAGATTTTCCTTTGGAAAATCAATTTATTAGTATGTATGGAGTCTTTAAACACATAATCTCTATAAATAATCCTGAGGCAATAACCAAGAATTTAATATTTACAATAAAATATGCTCATTACATCTCTACTTTTACCATAGAAAAAATGGAAATTTGTCACAATCAGAGAAACCAATAATTGAGTAAATTGTTGTACATCCATATGAATAATTACTAGGCAATCATGAAAAAGAGTTCACAAAATGTCTTAATGGCATTGGGAAATGCTCACACTATAATGTTAAGTAAAAAGATTAGATCACAAAACGTTATGTTATGATTTTAATAATGTTAAATCATGAGTAGAAAAAACACTATAAAAATACAAGCAAATACTAATAATGATTGTTTCTAGATTTTTTGATTATGACTTTTATTTCCTTAATAATATATTTATATATTTTCCAAATTCTGTGTAGAATGATATATATTAAAAAGAGATGCTAAGTATTCTAACAACCCACTTAATAACAACAAAATTTTTAAAAAGGAAAATTATGTATCAGGCACTGTGTTAGGTCTTATACTGATGAGACTTCAGTAAACATTAATGCTCACAAAAGTTGATGTTAAATTAGCCAGCTAAAATTTGATGTGTCATATCAAATTCTATCAGGAAAGAATAAAGGAGTAGAAATATGACCAAGACAAACCAATTATATTTGGAAATTTAAGCATAGAGGATTTGACTGTTGAAAATTGTCATTATAGTGATAGATTTTGATAGGTGGAGAAATGGAGACAGGATATCCCAAGATGAGAGGAAAGGCATGAGCAAAACAAAATCGCATGGCACGTGTATCAGGGACGGAGCTTAGTTCCATCAGGAGAATGCACCGATGTTTGGTGGCTGGGCAAGAGCGTTAAATATCACGCTGTGTGGCTTGGACTTTATTCTACAGCCAATGGAAACTTGTCAAAGATTTCAAAGAAGGGAAATCACCTTTTTAAATGTATCATAGTAAAGGATAGATAGGTAAGTGAAAGAATATAATGGAGTCGTGGATTCCAGAAACGGTATTTCTATAGACAAAATATAATGAGGCCCTGAAGTAGTGGAGGCACATTGAAAATAGAGAGGAGGGCATGGAGATGAGAGATATGTCAGAATTAGAATCAAAAGGACTGATTCATGAAAGAGAGTGGAGTCCATAATGAGGCTCTTCATGGAGAGGATATAGATAAGCACGGAAAGAAGGTCAATGATGAATGCAGAACAAGATAGAAATACTGAGGAAAGAGTATTATGAAGAATGTTTAATAAAAGCCAAATACAATGAGGATTAAGAAAGTATCATTACCATTACATGCAACCACATATGCTTGATTCTATGTAACACTTACATAATCACTTTACACCCTAAATCACTTGTTTCCAAGAGAGTGTAGAAATTGAAATTCAGAACTGACTCAGAATTTTACTACAGAATTTAGTATTTTTAATAGTATATTTAAAATATTAGTAAAATAAAAATTTTAATATTTTAAAAGGAATGCATGTGTCATATACTTCTACCTGAATAAAATATTCTTATCATTGGGTATGTAGTAATCTCTGATTTCCTTTATGACAAAGGTATTGCAAGGAAAGTCTCGAGAGAGGCATGGGAGTGGATTATAAGAACCAATGAGGCGCAGTTTCCACCGTGAGGATGACACATATGTGTCACCAGTATATGCTTCAGCCACAAATGTGTACCCTTTCTGTAAGAAAGAAGAATTACACAGAAATTACATTGTTGTTAGTCTCTTCAATGTACAATATATGGTTTCACAGTATTGAAATGCTTTATTGTCTTGATATACATAAAGATCCCAAGATCTTTTGATAAATATCAGATCACTAGCATTATGTTTTGAAATCCCTCTTTGAAAGAGCCATCTTAAATGTTTCCAGAGAAAACGAATAACACTTTTGTCATGTGGTCCCCTAGCCATAAAGTACTGCTCTTAACTGAAGTAGATGATTACTATATTTTCTTCTAATTCTTTTAATAATTCCTAAGGCAGATTTTTATCACTGCATCATCCTGGAGTAGCCCAATAGCTTCCTACTTAATTTCTCTGTCTTCTCAGAATTATCTTTCTAAATACAAGTTGAGAAAGGCAGAAGAGTTTATGGAAATGTAATTCCCTTGGGATGACAGTTGGCAGGTAAAGCTATCAGATTAATAGCAGATCTGGTTCCTCAAAACCCAGATGCCAGTCTGGAGATAAGCTCTTTAGGCTGGAGGAAAGAAGCAGGTAAGGAATCTGGGAAAGTGATAATGTCATAGTGAGTAATAGCTTGAGTCAATATAATTGACTCAAGTCAGTGAAACAGGAGATGATGAGATACAAAGAAGCATAATATTATAATGAGATATAAAAACCCAAAGTAATTCTGAGTTTTTAATACCAGACGCTTTTATTTTATTTATTTATTTTAGGAGAGGCAATCCTTGGTTGACCTCATAGACTGCAGGGACCTTGTCAGTTTACAATCCCTTATTTTTATTTTATTTTATTTTTTTACGCCTTCAGCACCTGATCTTCCTAGGTGATCTCTCATCCAAGTACTAACCAGGACTCACTCAGCTTAGCTTCCGAGATCAGATGGGATGGGGCTTGTTCAGGGTAGCATGGCCATAGATGAAACAGATACTTTTAATAAGAAAAAGACAGATTTGCATTCAAGTTGCTCTCAGAGGGAGAGGATGTGCTTTGATGTGTTTAGATTTCCAGAAACAAAAATTACAAACATACAAGATAGAATGAATTTATAACATTGCAATAAATGTGTAGGAATATTTACCAGAATCCCAATACTCATAATGAGATGAGAATTGCAACACCAACAAAAACCTTTTAATATTATGTTTGGGGCAAGGAAAAAGGAAGATAAAATCACATAAGCTAAAGTATTTATATCTGCAAAGTGTAATGGACAGATTTATTGCTATTTTCATTATTATTTGAGCTTGTGGTACTAATGCATTAAAGAAACAAAACAAAATCACATGATTCTATTTTGTGTTTGTCTAGACTCAGAGAATTATTTTGAGAGGGAAAAATATATTTATAAAATGCTAAGATGGATATCAGTAAGTGAAAACCTAATGCTAAACCATTGATAGGATTCTAAGAGAGGACCTGGCTTATTATAAATAAGTTATAGACTCTGAGTAAAATAATAACATAATAAAGTACCCCGTGCTGAGAAACCTTATAGATGAGTATTCTAAATCACAGTTTATGGTTTTTGAAATATTATTAAAAAAATTACAGCAAACAATTCTAAATGAAAACTCTTTCAATGCTGTTTTTATTTTTTTTAACCTTAGAACACTATTTTATTTTTACATAAAATAAATTAACATCTTGAGAGACACTGGTTCTGTGGACATACATTGGAAAAATACTGACCTAAAATAGACAGCATGTGTGTCAAAATGCCTTACAGGTGCTAAATGCTAATGCGATCATGGGATGCAAAACAATGGAGTAATGATCCTTCATACATTTAGCTGGATCAAAATGTCTTTTAAAGGCTGCATTCAGTTCCGAGAATCACAATTTAGAAGGGATGTAGATAATTTGGAGAAACATTCATAGATCAAGAATCATTCAGAGAGGAAAACCATAGTGCAAAAGGAATCGTTGAAGCTATTCTGCTATTCGTACACTCTATCTTCTCTTCCTCATTCTCTCAATGTTTTTTTTCTAAAATGAGCTAAACTTAGAGGATAGGAGAGATGAGTCATTACAGAGAGGGAGTGGCTATGTTTGTGTCCATCTTGAACTTGTAATTTAGAAATAATACTTAAGTGGAGATAGAATGGTTTTCTACATAGTGACTCAAATGCAACACTTTGACTGGCCCCAAAATTCAAGCTTCGTCTCAGGAGAGAGGTTTTCACTGGAGTTAGTAAACTAAACTCGAACAGACTAAGTATGCTAGATGTAAATAAGTATCAGATTCTTATTTGGTTCCACTCAATATCCTTTGATGCTCCCCACCAAAATTGTCGATGACTAACATTAGTATACACGCCTAGTAAAGCAAAGAGCTCATTTCTAGAATATGATGACATTTATAATTTTGATAGTCTCCCCTTGATAAATCATCTTTTTCATATGATCTGGGTTTTTTTTTTATTTCCAATTACAAATTAAGTAAATGTTTTTATTGAAAAGGAAAGCTAGGTCTCAATTTTGTTTTGAACATAAAACTGCTCTAAAAAATAAAGTCTTATTTTAAAACATCTAAAATGAGTCAAAGAACTATTAGTTTTTTTATGGAGTCAATAAACTTTTTAATTTTTCCTTTATTCCTATAAATCAGTACTCATTAGATAGGTACATCTTAACTTGTACAAAATAATTCATAGAATCATTGGCTGACATGAACCATAGAAGTCAGTTACAACAACACTCAAAGAGAAAAATGAAGTTCAAAGCCATACAGCTAAAGAATGGAAAATGACAGCTAAAATAGACCACCTGATTTCCAGTGCATGTATACACTATTTTGTCATGCTTCCTTCTCAGAAGAATGACCAAAAACACAAAGATGTGACTCAAATAAATAGTGAGGCAACATGATTTGAGTGAACATCAGAGATCGGGGTCTATCACTCAGCAGGAGTAATGTGTCAAGTGCTCCTATCCTTGGAAAGAATCTGCAGCCTTAGAAAAGTCTGGGGGTGGTAGGGAATGAGTGGTTGTGTAATCATAGTCTTCTCAATATTCAGGACTAGAATAAAAACCTAGAGAGAAACAGACAACCAGCTGATTTAGTTTCGGGACAGGACTAAATGAGCTTTTTAGTTCTATTTCCATTTTAAGAGTTTGCATGAGTTTTTAATTTTAATAATGAGAATTTTTGACGCTTTCCTTTTGTCTAATTTTCTTCAGAGAGTAGAAAAATGAAGGCTGAGAGGTGAATGTTCTAGCACTCACTTTAAGTACCTCCTATCATCCAATAAATAAAACTTTGATAGAAAAAGACCAGGTCCTTATTCCTCCATTAAATAGATTAAAGGCATAGCTGCTCTACTGTCTTCTGACACCTCTACAAAGTGCCGGCCTCTCACTACCACTCTATCATATGGAAAGAATTAATTTTACACCTACCTTATTCTTGGTATAAAAATAAGGCACCACTTTTTGGAACACCTTTGGCACTTGTTCCATTGTATCATTATTGACAACATGGAGCACACAGATTGGAAGTGTAGTATATACTTTGGGAACCAAAATCATATCTTGATGAACCAAAAATGTTTCTCTGTAATTACAAAAGCATGAGCTTTTCCTTGACATGAATCGTAAAGAAAGTATGAAATTAGGTTTGATGCTAAGAAATAAAAACATAAGTTTAAAGTTCCAAATGAACAAGATACACATATTGCTTTTCTTTAAAAATTGTTATTAACATATTATTTTGTCATGAAATACAAATTTTGTAATTTGTGACTTTTACCAAATTTGCTATTGCTTAGAAATAAATATCTTTCTATACTGAAAGCACATCAATTTATTATATTATGGTTATCATACTCATAAAAAAGTCTAATTAACTTCATATTCTTCATCTTTTGTTTAAGAAAACATGAATAAGAATTTCTATAATATCTTATTTATGCATAGCAGATATGAAAGAAATTTTAACTAAATTGTAAAAGCAACCTAAAAGTTCATACTTTAACTACTATCATAAATAAAACTCTACACATGAACGTTGCATGCCATTTAAAGATGACATCACTTGTCAATATATGATAGCCTCACCTGAATACTATAAACCAACTATTTGGTGGCTGGTCTGGATAAGTCACAGAATAGTCAGCAAAAGCAATCTTGGTTTCTTCATCTTGATAGCATGGATAAACTTCGATGGACTTGCACTTGCTTTTAAACATTAGTCTGTAAATATAAAAACAATTTAAGTATCAATGGCAAAAGCAACTTTTAAAATCAATTCTATTTATAAAAAAAAATAGGCAAAAATTAGCATAAAATATTGCAATCCACTGTGGGCTGGGTTGAGTCTTTGAATAAAAAAGGGTGCTGTGGGGCTCTCGGTGCGTGAACCAAGGAAGGGAGACCATTCCAGGCCGATCATGAATCTCAAAAGTGCCCAGAGTTATCCGAGGTTCTTCGTCAGTGGTGAACCTAATTCGTGATCAAGGTCATAATTGTGTTTATAGTTGGAAAATCAGCACCAATATTCAAGCTGTAAAGGTTGGAAAACTAGAAGCAGATAAGACAGCCAAAAACTGGGTGGGAGCCACTAAAAGTTCTGAAGTTGACAACTGATACTGGAATGGAGTTTAAAGTGAGAATGTATTTGAAAAAACAAAAAACAAAAAACAAAAAAAACAGATAAACAACAACAACAACAACAACTAAAGCCTTGAACAAGGGAAGAGTACAGAGTCTTTTACATAATTTCTGTTGCATGAGAAAGTGGCGCATGCTACTGGTTAAAGAATTGTGGGGTGAACTTTCTCTATCTTTGCCCCCTGGAAGGCTGTGGCCCATCCCGGAACACGATGAAAGTGATGCGAGGGATTCTCCTCCAGGTCCTGTCCTTCTCGCTCTGCCCGGAACTGGATCTAGCTTCAGCAGCATCAGAAATCTAGGGTCTTTTATATAACGTCTCAGTGTATTAGCTGAGATGGAAGCCAAGGTGGCCATAGGTAAAGGTTCCCTACTAGATATGAGACAGAGCTAGAGGTTCTCTGACTTCCAGAAGGCAGATGGTTTAATTGCACTGCCAGTAGGAAGCAAAGCCATGGAGATTCTCGTGGAGGCCAGAAGTCACATGATACATGTCATCACTGGTCCTTTTTGGTGGGAGGAAGTTGATAGGTTTATATTTAGAATGGTTTTAAGTCTTTTAAAATAGTTACAAGAACGAAGACTGACCTCATATCCTGGTTTGCCTGGAACAGTCCTGGTTTATACTCATAGTGTTCTCTCTATCTATAAAATTGTCTCAGGTTGGATGATAAATAATCTGACCACCCTAAGGAGGAACTATAATGTGCTGGTCTGGCAATGCAGGGCACCACTGTTCATCCGTGGGGCCTGGCCTACTCTAAATGTGGTTGTTGGCTGAGCCAATACAGGAAGTAAGCATACCACAGACGGAAGTGACTTGATGGTACTCACCACCATTCTAAAACAAGGGGAAGATTTAGAGGCAGGCCAGACTGTCATTGTTTCTGTAAGACTTTCTATCCTTTGTCATACATCTCAGGAAATTCTAATGAATATAGGGCCATTGAAATCTTGATGTACCATGTGGAGTATCTTGAATGTCCCAGAGAGATATCCCTGACAGACTTGAAAAATTTTGTTTTAACTTTGCATCCTAGGACAGAGAGAAAGTTATATCGATAAACTGAGCCTTGCCCAAAATCGACTTTGGGAAGGTCTGCCCCTTATCATCTAAGAATGAAAGGCTAGTCTCTTAGCCTCAAAGTTCCCCATGTAGTAGCAATAATAGCAGCAATATTTATAATAGGTAATGTTCTATATTAGCTCAATTTGTAGCATTGTGCTAAATGTTTTCTATGTTATCTTATGTTTTCTATGTTTTCTATGTTATCACCACAGCTTTATAATGAAATAGTACTATGAGGTAGATATTATACCTAACACTACAGAAGAAAAAAAATTAATTTCAAGTTCAGAAAGGGTAAGAAACTTACCCCTCCATGTCACATATCTGATAGTTAATAAGGCTGAAGTTAGCATTAGGTCTTATGCCAAAAGATGTGTTCTTGACCATAAATTAATATCTGCTAGGATGAGCAGGTAGCTTTGGATGCTCCTGGCATTTTAGTTTAAAGATCAGTGAGACCTGTCAGTTTCATCTATCCAATAGCACAAGTGTAGGACTCAAACTATTGAAAGAGAACGGCCTCTGTATTGGATATTCGCTGAGTTTCCAGGAAATGCTCTTGGCTATGGTGGACAGATCAGATGGAGAGAAACAGCAGCCCCCTGAAGAAGATATGCCTGTGTTTCAGATACACCTCCATGGTAAGCTGATCCAGCTCCTTGACTGGGGAGCTCATGTTTTTGGCACTTCATTTACATGAAAGTTAGGCATTAGGTGTAATTTCTGGCCCAGAGATCTTCCCCACAACCCAAAAGCAGGTTGGAGAGGAAAGTTTACGCTCTCTTTGAGTGTTCATACAGTTGGAATCTTAAGTAAAAGAGTACCCATTTTAGAGACAGGGGTTCTGGAGCAGAAGTTCATTGTGCTGGATTGTCAGACAAGAACAGCCTCTGTGGGCCAGGATTAGGGTAGGGTGAGCGAGGCACTCACTCTCAGGGTTGGGCAAGTATACTTTTGAATTTTCTCTGTATTTAAATTTTAATATTTGGTTCATCATGATATTTTTTATTAATTTTTGGTTATTTTAAATTTTTATATACTTTTATATATAATTTTCTATTTGTCTCTTGCTTATAAATAGGAACGTGATTGTTATTTTATGTTGATCTTGTATCCGGCAATTTTTCTTAATTCTCTCGTTAATTCTAGTAACTCTCTATATTCATTTTTGGTGTTTTTTACATGTAAAATCATGTCATCTGGAAACAGTGCTGGCTTTATTTCTTCCCTTCAGATCCTAATGGCTCTTATTTTAATTCATTGTCTTTTTGCCCTTCTTGAAATTATTCTAGGATTATTTTCAACGTAAGTGATCAGGCAAGCATCTTTGCTTCATTCTCATACTCAAGGAAAAGCTTTCAAAATTTCACCATTAGTCATGTTTGTGGTAGGCTTTTTAAATACTAGATACCATAACATATTAAGGAAAGTCTTTTTGAATCTCAATTTGCTCAATTGATTTTAATGTTAAATTTGTGTTAAATTCTAACAAATGCTTTTCTGAACCTACTAAGGAGACCAAATGATTTATCCCCTTTCCCTGTTAATGTGCTGAATTAAAATGACAAATTTTCTAATGTGAAACCACCACAGCATGTCTGGGAATGGGGAACCCACTTGATTACAAAGTATTATCCTATTTATATAATTCTGATTTTAATTTGCTAATATTTTTTTTACATTTTTGTATCAGTGTTTAAGAGGGTGATTGGTTTGCAATTTTATTTATTGTACGGTCCATGTTGAGTTTTTCTATCAAGATTGTAAGTTGAGAAACCTCTCCTCTTTTTCTAGTCTTTGGAAGATGTGTAAGATTAATCTTATTTCTTCTTAAATTCACTAGTTAATCCATTAGCACATTGCTAAAGAATATATCGTGCATCTTTGCCCTATTAGAATCTCATCTAAATAATTACTGTTACCATTTCTGCCATAATGCTAGAACTTTAGAACTCTGTTAAACCTTTTACCTAATTTCTGCATCGCTGAGGTCATGACTTTACTCCTACATATACCTGTTAGTCTGATTGTCCTTTGAAGATAATATGTCTTATTTCTCTGGCTGCTTTGAAGGTTTTTCTTTTGGCCTTTGGTTTTCAGGTGTGGTTTTCTTTGTGTCCTTCTTGCATGGTGTCTGCATATGGAATCTCTTGAAAATATGGGGTGATGTGTTTTATCAGTTTTGGAAAGTTCACAACTATTATCTTTTTACATTCTGGGACTATAATTATCTAAATAATAGACCTTCTGAGCACATTCCATGTGTCCTTCATGCTCTTTTATTTCCACGTATTTCCCCTGTGCTTCAGTTTGGATATGTGTTGACCTATGTCCCAGTTCACTAATCTCCTCTTCTATTCTGCCTAAACTGCTGTTAGACCCAGTAAAAAGTTTTTAATTTCAGTTATTTAAAATTTCATTTATATAATTTCCATTTGACTGTGCTTTATTAATCTAAACTTTTAATCTATTTTACCTTTCTGTATTCTTTATTTTCTTGGGTATTTTCATAATAGTTATCTTTAGAGACGTAGAGATTTTTGTCTGCTAACTCCAACATCAACAGAGATTCATTTATATGAATAATTTTTGTTCAAATTTTATTCTGTCTTGGACATGGTTAGTGGCTAGAACGCAGTTTTCCTAAGGCTCAGTCTACTTCCGATTGATCCCTGTTTCTGGAGCGTTTGCCCTCCAGAAATTTCAGCTGACAACTTTAATTTTTTACTGGAGTTCCCTCCCCTAGCAAGTCCTCAACTATAATTTTTGTCTCCTCAGCACCATAAGACTTCAAGAAACTGTTCTGCTTCTCAGAGGTTTTCTGCTTACGATTTTAGATAAGTTCAATTGAGACAAGTAAAAAGTAGTAAATACAATAGAAATATTTCAGGTGAAATTTTTAGGAAGATCGGAAGCAATGCTGTATATCTAGCTGCAGCGATTGGGGCAACTCAGTGAATATGGCAGCATTTGAAGGATACCAAGATATTGCAATAATAAGTCAGGCAGACAAAGACAAATGCCATATGACTTCACTTACATGTAGAATCTAAATAAAATAAAATAAATGAACAAACAGAACAGAAACAAACTCATAGATACAGAGAACAAATTAAGGGTTGCCAGAGGGGAGGGGCTGGGAGATGGGTTGAAAAGGGGAAAGGTTTAAGAAGGACAAATTACCAGTTATGAAAATAGTCACTTCATAAGGTGTATAAATGTCTAATCACTATGTTTGTTCACCTGAAATTAATATAATATTGTATATCAACTCTAATTGAAAAATCCAAAAAAAAGGGGAAAAAAAAAGGAAAAAAAAGAAATATCAATTATTACGCCACTTTACCTTAAGAGAGAAAGTGCGTACTGTTCTATATTCATTTCCAATATAGCCCAAACTTTTTGAAGAGTATCTGCAACACTGGCATTTTCCTTTGTGTCTAGAAATAACAACAAAAGATAACAATATAAAAGCTGTAAGGTGCCTGAAGGATTATATTTTTCAAAGCCCTTATTTCATAGAAGTTGAAACTCATAAGTAAGGTGGTACCAAAGCTATAGGCTTTATTAGAAGCAAAATCGTGTTTCAAATACAAAGTTATAAATCTCTAGTTGAGTGCTTTGCTCACCATTTTATGCTGTTTTCCTTCACTTTTAGTTTAAAAAACATAAAATGTCCTTTGATCTCATTAAAATCCTCATTCATGAGTTTTCATCAGGAGATCTTTGATCTCGCCAAAAATTTCTTTTGAAAGTTCTTGTGTCAGAAAAAATAATTCATCCAATTTCCCTAAAACAGAGTGGCAAGTAGGATTCCACTAAGGCATATTCCACAAATAGCTTAAGAGTAAATGATTTGCCAAGACAAATGCAAATTCATAGTAAATACTTCAAATTTAACATGTCAGAAACTGACATGTCTTCTTATTATCTTAATTTCTTCATAGTACTTACCAGTATCTGAAATAGATATTTTAATATGTTTATTTGTCTATTGTATACCTACCACCACTAGAACATAAGATTCATCAGAGCAGAAACCTTATCAGTTTTACTATTTATAAGGCCAGAATCTAGAACAGTGCTGTACGCACATTATTCAACACATATATGTTGAGTGAAAAAAATATACATACTGTCAAAAATTATTAAATTGCTCAAATTTTGCCTCTGTAAAGAAAATCATTGTATAAATATAATTTTTGCAGCATATATGGACAACAAAAGTATATTATATCATATATTTAATTTTATGAATTTATAATTATTTTTTCTAATAGAAAAAATATAAAAATCAGCAACAGTAATATTTTTCTATCACAAAACTATTCAATGTAGTGTGCTTTACATTTGTGTATGTGTAGTTTTCACTGCTTAAACATTTAGATGATTCTCATTAAATGTTTCAAATAGAGACATTTTTACAATAAAATGTTTCAATATACTCAAAGAATTCTATTAGAGATAAGGCTTTCTCTATGAAAATGTAAACCAAAAAATGCAGAATGAAAATAACTGAATATAATTTTTGCCTCTGCAATATCTTACTTTAGGCTGTTAAAAAAAACTTTTCACAAGTTTATTTCATATGCACAAATATGTTTACTTAATATACTAATGCACTTAAAATGCATTTTATGCCTTCTAATTGTCACCATGGACATACATAACAGCTCCTTTATTAAATTCATTCATTCATTCACTCATTCAATCTTTCAGCAAGTATTTGTTGTATGCTTACTCTGTGCCAGGAGGTACTGTGCTAAATTCTGGGAACAGGAGAGGGAGTGTATCGACATGTACCCTGATCGCAAGGAGATTCAGTATTTATAGAATTAAACATAATCAGCCTACCCATAAAGTAAGATGACTCTAAAATACTTTCTATTAACACATAGATAAATATTTCTTCTTATATAGGCTAGCTCATTTTATAAATGATGAAAATTAATACCTGGTGTCCTAGCTTTCATGAGCAATCTGACATAAGTCCCTCTCCACATGGCTTGGATTTTAATTGCTGCTGCTATTTCCTCAGGAGAATTCTCTTTATCACTTACTGGCAAACAATATTTAACATCTACCCATTCCGCTGCAAAGAGAAAAACAAACTTTGGACTGAAAGTTACATTTGACCCCTTCCCCAATTTTCGACACCTTAAACTGCTAAGTCCCTCTGACACATAAAGTGTCACGATGATGGATTTGTCATTATATTTAACATTGCCCTCGTAGGCAGTCCTTTTTTTAAAAAGAGAACATTCTGGAGAAGGGCGACACACTAAATCTTGACACCTTAGTGAACGACTCTGATTCTTCTGTGAAAGTAGTAAGAGGTTTCTCTCAAAATTGAAAGAAAATGCTAAAATGGTGGAAATAGAGTAGTGGGAGGGGAGGGAAGGAGCGTTACTGGTATCAGAGGATCTTCCTGCAGTTCCTCAAATCATACTGCCTAGGTTAGTGACTTCCATCCTTGTTAAGGTCAGTACTAAATTAAACAGGGAAATTCTGGGTGTGTGTTGGGGTAGAGGACACACGAGAACCCTGGTAAAGCTGTGAGCATCCCTGAGCACACCTCGAATGCTACAAGGTCGGTGGACCTGTTCTGCCCACTCCACAGATGCTTTGAGGGCACTTTTCTCACATTATTCATCTTATAGACGCCTGGGGATTCCTCTGCCAAATAAATACCTAAAACTTAATTAGTACCTAAAGAAGCCTCTTCCAACGAGGAATCGAATGAATCCAAGTCTAAAACCATAGCACGGAATGCAAATTTGAAGTTTGAAGGAGGTTTTGCTAGTTGAGCTTTTTTCATTAAACGCCATAAAGATATATGAAAAACCTGAAAGAGATAAAATATTTTAATATATTTTTTAAACCAAGAAAATACTTGGTCAGATATGCTCTAAAACACTTTAGATATGCTAAAAATAATATATATATATAATTTGTCATATATATATACAATCTAACAGGAAATTCTTCAAAGTCTCACTCATTCAGTAAGTGATCAGAATTATCTTATGACTATTCCTAATTTAATAAAATTTAACCACACTATACCAATGTTTATAATGTACAGTTAATCAAAATATAACATTAAACTGAGGAGATGCAGTGAAGTTAAATATTGTCTTTGTGCTTAAGTGAGTTAAATTCAATATTTCACTGATTCTAAGATGTAAAACACTATTATTTCATGTGCTACGGGAAAGAAAATATGCTATTTAGAGTTTTTAACACTTTTATTGTCAGTATTTCCTATCAAAAAAGATCTTTTAGATTTATTTAGACATAGCTTTTCATTATGTATCACACTGAAACATACATGAAAAGAGAAAATAAGCTACATAGACTTATTCATAGTCAAACTCTTACTCTTGTAAATCACTTTTTGAAAATACTTAATAGCTGTTTTTTTTTTCCCCCTATACAATTTTGTGCTTCATGGTGTCAAAAAGTCATGAAGACGACCACTGCCTAAATTAAAGAGTAGTCTTTTGTCCCTGGAGTTTTCCTTAAGCAACTGTTGAGACTGGCTCTTTCTTGATCTTACCCAAGAGGATTGATGGCAGGTTTCTAGACTACAACAAGAGCCATATTCTTTCTTCCAATTTTAATCGTGGTGCTTATCCTGAAATGCTCAGAGATTCCATTTATCCAGTTGTGCCACTGTGGATAACAGCGAAACCCGGACACATTTCTGCTGGCTGGCTTTTAGCTACTTACGTGTCCACTGGGAACGATGTGCTGGGTGGATTATGCAAGGCCCCTGGGGTACTATCTGAGGTGACGGTTTGCCAGTCACACCTTTCCCTCTCTTTTTGTTTTAGCCCAGAGCGGGGTCATTTTGTTGTGAGGAAAATCTCTCTCCCTTCATGTTTTTTGAGAGGCTTTATTACTACAGTTAGACATTCTCTTCCCTGAAGAATTAGGCTTTTGTCAAACAATACACCTATGCCTTTTGAAGCAGTGACAATAGGAACCCTTGCACAAAAGTCTATGTGTGTGCAGAGAATTCTGGAGGCCACCTGGCCAGCAACGTGTCAGGATCCACCAATTATAAGACACACTTGATTTCATTCTGCAGGCAAAGTGTGAAAAGAAAGGTGCCTCTGAGAACTGGTGAAATGCAGTGCCCTTCAAAGGCACACGACCATTGCATTTCCTGC